GACGGTGTAGCCAATTACCTCCGGTACGTGTCTGTACCGCGCACTTTGAATGGCTGCATCTGTACTATATTATATTCATAAATAAATACAGATAGTATCATTCAGAAATATTTGTATATTTTACTTATTTTTATTTAAAGCAACCAAAATTTCCCTTTTGTTACATGATTCCATATTAAGTGGATTTAGAGAAGTAGGCTTTCAGTACATGAATGTTACAGTACTGTTAAAGTACCAAACACAGAAATGTAACATAAGAGCTTTAAATCTAATGGATTCAGGCTCCATTCATTAGATCGAATCCCATTTAGAACAAATAAAAACTGTACTGTAAGACACCCCTGATGCAGTCATGCAGGGAAAAAGACAAAGAATAAATATTTACAATACTTTTGGATTTTGTGAGTGGAATTTATTATTAACATTACTTTTTTAAAGCACTGTGGCACTGTGGCTAGGAGGTTGCCCGTTCAAATCCTGCAGCTGACAGAGGAATCCTACTCCGCTGGGCCCCTGAGCAAGGCCCTTAACCCCAGCTACTCCAGGGGTGCCGTATAAATGGCTGAAGCTGTGTGTAATGCTTCTCTCTCCCCATCTGTGTGCCTGTGTGTGTCATGGAGAGCAAGCTGGGGTATGCTAAAAAGACAAATTCCTAATGCAAGAAATTGTATATGGCTAATAAAGTGATCTTATCTTATCTCTTCCACCAAGCATGTCGTTTTTAATTGCACATGAGCAAAATATATGGGCAAAAAACTACATTTCCCAATGTGCCACACACATTAAAGAATTCTGTGAAGTATTATCCACAGATATCCAAACTGTTTGTCAGCTAGAGTATTAGCATAATTCTTGAACACTTCTTTATCTAGCTGGATGACAGTATTCAAACCATTGTTTTGTAAGCAATCACAGATAATATTAAAATGTTTTGAGCATAGCTATTTCAACAATATAATGGCAAATTGCAATGTAAACCATTTCAGTTGTTTTGATTAGTTTATAGCCACTCTGTGAAATGTCTTGTTTTCTGAGAATTTTCGTAAAACCAGGCACATGAAAAAATTAAGGTCCAGCTTCATTTATGGCATGTAATGATCTTTTCAGAAAAACAAATACTGGACAGTCATGTTACATTTTAAAATGGAAGCTAGGCAATTATTTAAAATGATTATATAACATAAATACATTCTATTTTCAAGATATATGAATAGTAGACTAAGAAAAAAAACATCAAATGAAGGAACCATTTGAAAAATATGCATGCTGAAACCAGTATGCGTGCTAATGTGAATTATGATGCACATTCTATATGGCTGCAAGTCTTCCTATCTTGAGTCTATTGTTTGCAACATCCCATGAATGGAGAAATAAATCTTTATTTCATTAGAAATACATCTGAAATTAAACAAATAAAAGTTAAATAAAAGATTGATTTGATTTAGTTACCCACAAAAAGAGAATAGCTTACCATATGCAAAGATGGAATTTTACCTACAATATTTTTATATTTATAATTTACACTGAACAGGAAACAACCTAATAGTTTTTAATTGGCCATTAAATATTTAGCTTCTTAGTTTTTTACCAATAGACACTTAAATTTAGGGATATCTAAACAGATTTATAGCTTAAATTAGAAAGCTTTCCCAGAAATCCATACAATTCCTACATTAAAGTCTGTGATTTCAAATTTATAATTTTACTTTCATCACTTTTTACTATTACTTATAAAATAATTGATTAAATTATCTTTTTTATGGATAGAACTCCTTTCTGAGGTACAGTTTTTGAAAAAAAAAATTATATATTTGAAACATCATTAGGTCATCTGGATACATCATTAGGTTATCTGGAGTTTGATTAACACATTTCTGTCATACTGTACATTAAATGTACTTGAATGTAAAATTAAATCAAATTCCACAACATAATGTTATATTAACTGAAAACACCAATGGGGATGGGCAGTGATTGAGAAATATAGGAGTCTATTACTTTATTATTTGTAACTAACATATGATCAAATGGACTACATAGAAAATACAGTGAGAAGAAAAGACAGTGGGAAGAAAATTTCCATAGGGGTTGATATTGTCTTAATTTAGACAGAGTAATAAAAACAGCTTTTGCCTCTCTACTCCTGAAAAACAATATTAAGAAATTTTTAATTATAATGTCTGAGAAACACACCACAATACTACCATTCATTCACTGAGACATTAGCTTTAATTGTTAAGCCCAGAGGGAATAGTATAACCTCCTGGATAGCTAGTGTAATACAGTCGATTGTAGTGCTGATCTAAAAACAGCTTTTCTGAGCTTTTGTAATCACTCAAGATCTTGTTTCATTGTGGTACAGCTGTGTTGTAATTGAAGACACATAAATTCACAGCATCACGTGATAATATTTACAGTAAAAATTATCAACAGAACCTTTGTATTACAAATAAGTATATATAATTCAAGAGACAGTTATCATATTATATACATAGCTCCAGATTTTCCAATTAAAAGGTCAGCATGGAAAAGATACATTTATTTTCAGTCTATATTAGCAACTGTGGCTTTTTTGAAGTTTAGGAAGCTCCTTTTTTTCTTCTTTTTACAAATTGTGTCTGAAAAGTCTTTCTGTTCTGACTCAAAACGAAAAACAAACACTTTCTCTCCTGTGTCATGTAGGTCCAGGATTTCTGCTGCTGGATCGGAACACTGATCTTCTATAATGTTCTGGACAACACTGTTTCGGACACTTCTTGAAGTTTCCACATCAACCTGTTTTTTCATCAAAACCCTGAAAATGAAACAGAATTCAAATGTACTGAGAAATCTGAGGAAATGTGTTTTTCAGATCCATATATCAAATAACAGAAAACGTACTCTCCAGAAAACTCTTATAAGTAATAATATAACTGATTTGTGATGTTTGACTTTGTTGTTATATTGGAATAGAACAATACTTATTTATAACTGAAGAGGCTTAGTTTTTTTTTTAAATTCACTACAATAGTACCTAATAGAATTACAGTACTTTTTGTTAAAGGCACTCGTAGAGCTGTCAGGAAGTATTCACAACAGGGATGTGCACACAAACTGAATGCATTTCACACGTGTTTGCATTTATATTGTGTTACAGTATATTGACTTTTTAATGGGTTTTGAACTAGGTATTGTATTCAACCTTTACTTGTTAGGTAAATGCTTATGAAGTATATTGGTTACATTTTTAAGAACACCCAGGGCAGAACTATTAATCAGCAACGCAGATTTGAAAAATGCAAAATGCCCATTGAAAACTATAATTACACATGCTATAAAATGAACAGTATAAAATCTGTAAGACATACTGTAAATAATAATTCTGATGATAATATGATAATTGCGGTGTATAAAATTCAAAAGCAAATCTATTAAAAGGACTTTTTTAACTGAAAAATTCATATTACACAACTGTACATACCTGGAATACACCATTACCATTACTCACTTTTTCAACAACTATATTTGTCTTATAGTATTAACATATATATATAATGTATATAACCACCTGAATAAAATGTTATAGTGGCTTCATGCAAGAACAAGAACAGAAGAAAAGAAAAATGAGAGGTGCTGAAAAATCTGGCAGTAATATTTGTTTTCAGGACAAATACAGCTGAGTTCGAACTGAGACGGGCCAACAGGAACATTTTATAAATAATCATGAGATACAACAAGCATTAATCTAAAACATTAGGTTGACATTTGAGAAAGATGGATTCCAAATAGCCAGCTGTTTCATACTGAGAAAAAAAATATGGAAAAATAATTTTAAAAGCTTTTTAAATAAAAACCACCACAATCAGTAATAGATTTTTGCAGTGATGCCAGCCTTTTAATTCTGTGAAGCATCTGCTTCAGTTACATGGGAAATAAGCACATTATAGAGCAGACAGAATAGCATTTGGGGTACAAAAATCTGATCTTTTACAACTATGCATGGATTTATATGGTTTACTGTTTTCCTTTTTTTTTTCTTAATGGGGTTTGTACAAATGACATTAAGTATTTTTAAGACAGTTTTAAAATTTGTGCTGTCCTGAGTTTGTTATAAGTATACTTCAAAGTTACAGATAAGGAGTCCATAAAATGTCATGGATCTGAAAGTTTAAATACTCATTTTGTTGGTGCACATGCTAAGATGTCTGTGAATTCATTATTAAAATATTTCTGACGGTAGCATAAAACATTTTCTGTGTCCACTTGGAAATGTAGATATGCTGATCTCAACCATCAGGGAAACAGGCTTTTAACAGCTTTTGAATATTTATTAGCAGCTACCAGTTGCCTTGCTTGAAAACATTCATAGTTTATCAATGTTGAGAATCAAAACATTAAGGAAAAAGAACTCTACTTAGAACAAATTTATGCTTTTGTGGCATACCAATGAACTGAAAGAGAAATAGTTATGAATTCTGAACATTTTCTAAAACATACTGAGTGAGTCTAAAGATTAGAGATAAACAATTTATTATTAACATTGTTTGCTCACTCTATAGAAAATTAAAAGCAATCGTCTGCCTTGATGATGGAGATAGAGAAAGACACTGTCAAAATATATTCAGATATAATCAGTTGAAGTTTCTCTGATGTTTCAGACTGAAGAGTATCAGACAATGTCACATCCCTGTAAAATGTTATTTTACTTTCATCAGACACACTGTAAATTAGTTGTCTAGTTTTTAGTTGTGACTCAACATCTCTTTCATTGTAACCAGGAATTTGCTTTACTTTAAATGTCATTATTGGAGTCAAGTGTTGTTTCTAATATTCTCTCACCTTTAATGTAAATGTTAATTTGAAGTGCAAACATATTTCTTATTAACAGAAACAAAAACAGAGCCTTACCTTTCAAACCCTTTGTCCAGTGGACCACTGATCACATTTTTACTGATGATGTCTTCTCTTAGTTTAATAAGAAGGGATTTTCTTGATCCATCAGTCCACCTTTTAAAACAGTTCCCATTATGAAAAGAAACAATCAGAATTCGTATTTTTACTATACATTAGCATTTTTTAACCTATTTTGAACTATTTTTTATCTTATTTCCACCTCCTTAACTTTCTTAATGAACTCTCAGAGGTAACAATTTCTCTCACCTCATATACTGTATATTAATAAATATACTGTATATCCATTCATAGCTGGATTAAAACCACCTGGCATCCTAAAATGATAATATGTTTTTTTCAGCATGCTACTACTGTTATATAGAAAACAGTACAGTATTTTCAATGTGATATCTGTTTACACATTAACAATTTATTTGAAGGCCCAGTAAAACTTTTTTATATTTTTTAATTTGGCAGAACTAGCTAACTAGCAGAACTGCAGTCGTATACCAGCATCATACTACCATTAAGGGCTCAGTTAGTATCCTTGGCATTAAGCAGATGTATGTTTCTCATTAAACATTTTAAAAGTCATTTTAATCCTGAGGTTGAAGTCAATCTGACGTATAAATGATTCAGATGTTACAAATGTTTGTCTTAATATTATCGATTTTTGTTCTTTGAAAATAACATGGATTTGATAAAAAGCTGACTACAAGAACAAACTTGAATACATTATTTAATAATAGGTATTTGTTTGTGCATTATAATGTTTATATTAGTGAAGATACAAATAGCTTTTATTTTATTGCCACTTCACATTGCTGGTCTACAGAATAACAATGATAAAAGAACTAGTTAAGGAACCATATAAACTGTTTGCATTTCTAGTAAAATAGTTTTTATTTGATTAGACTGCTTTAAACTAAAATCCAAAATTATGATTTCACACAGCTTTTATTATAAACAAGTCCATTAACAACCTCAGAAATCCATTACACTAAAGTAGTTACACTTGGTACACTTAGTTAATGGTTGCGTTACCATTACTGTTGCTGTTGCTTTAGCAGAATATTATTGCATGTACTGTAATACTTCTGCAGAAATTCTTATTTTTTCACATTTGTGTTGGTCTTTAGTGCTTATCCACAGACTGTTCTAAAAAATATCAAGGCACATTTCCTGCCTCGCTTTGTCATAACCTTTTGCTTTTCCTCTCCCCTCTGGTGACATACCAGCTAGTTGATTACAGCTGGGTTGTGAAAAGGCTCTTTCAATTCTGCCCTGTAGATAGAACTCACAAGGAGGATCTCTTACAACTCAATGACAGTGACCAGGCTTTCTTAAACGTACTATTTTCACTGGCAGTAGTGCCTCACCTCAACCCAATGATGCAAACCAAAGACACAAAGAAAATGCGAACATCAAAAACGTTCTACGTACAAACCTGTTCTATGTACAGTATGTATATCTGGTCAATTTACAGACCTGAATGATGTGTGTAAATTGTACACTTTAAGATGCTGCATGTACACAAACCCGCGGTTTAATTCTTTGACATTCTTTACAAATCTTTATACAGTACAACTGAGTCCCGGGATAAAATAATCTTTTTTAAAAATCCTAATACCTCTAATACCTTTATGCACAAGACAGATGGATATGTGAATATATACTGAATAAGCGCACATTAGTTCATTAATACAGTAAACTCTGTCTTGTAAGTGTTTGTGAAGTTGAATAACAAATAATTTATACACATTTTTAAAACTGAATAAACCTGTATGATCAAACACAGGAAGAACATACAAACTCCACACAGATAGCACCCCAGGCCCAGAACTGAACCCAGGGCCTCAGTGCTGTGAGGCAGAACTACTTACCACTGTGCCATTGTGACACACTTGTATAAACATATACAGTAAAACTCAAGTATTTGCAAGGGTTAGGTACCCTGATGCTTCCACTATTGGCAAATTCGTGATAGCATTGATACCTTACGGGGATAACAGGGAATGGATCCATGGTTCATGAAACAAACATTTCCATAGTAATATTTTGTCATTATCGTTAATTTCAGAAATACTGTTAGAAATCATTGGTTGTATTATAATAAAAACAAGTACTGGAAAGTTTGGTTTTCCGGTTTTCATCTATAATTGAAGTTACTGCATGTGTAAACAAATAAAATACAGTAGGTTACTATTTCTCCTAGATTGGGAGAAAACCAGAACATCCAGAATAAACTAACACTTACAGGACATGGGGAGAACATACAGTACAAACTCCATACAGTTTGCACCCTAGGAATTGAACCCAGAGCCCCAAAGCTGGGGGATGGTAATGCTAACAACTAGGCTACAGTGCTGCACCTACTGTATACCAAACTTATATTAAAGAAATGATCTCAAACAAGGAGAGACAAAAGACACGGTATTATAGGCAACAATAGTTAAGGAAGCATCACACACGTGCCACCATGAATAAAGCAAACCACTAATATAAGTGTCTTAATGGCTTTTGTTAGCTTGTCAACAATTTTGCAAAACAATGTTATGCAAATGCAGGAACATAGGAAAATAGAAATTGTCGATGATAATTTAAACTGCGATATCAGTATATTGGTTTGACTGATATATCAGTAGAAAAACACCAATTTGTTCTACTAATCATCCACTTTCTCCTGTATAGTGCATACTTTCTGTAAATATCTATTTACTTTCTAACATAAATATATTCAAATTAAACAAAATATGAACATTCCATTCAATGCCCAAAACAGCTTTTCAGGGACGTGCCCATGGTAGTGACTCATTTATTTTCAGCAGAAACAGAGTTCTAGGCACCAAACCTTCTGCAGCAACAATCTGGTCTTAAATATGATTATTCATTTATCAGAGTTTGACAACTTCCATATCGTTTAATTAGGAGATTTGTAAACCATACCCCAAGAATAACATTGTTCTGTTTCTCTACTATACAGTATGCTTACAAAGTAGAAATAATATAAAGTGTTTATCCTAGACTTGTTTTTCAGTCGGGTTGAGAGTCTTTATAGAAAGAAGAGAATTATTCCAGTGAAGGATTCATCTTTAAGAAGATTAAGAAAAAAAATGCATTATGTAATGCATGCAAAAAATCGTATTGAAGATACTGTACACTGACGAGGGTTGAAAAATGTCTATAATCTATGGGTCATGTTACATATTTCTTGAGGATTTTCTGGGGCTGTTTTATGTGCTGTACTTTATGTGTACATTTTCAGGAGTTCACTTTTTGCTGAATGTTCTTGAAAAAGATGCATGTTTACAAGAAATTATACAGTCCTAGCTTTTATTTTTTTTTCCCCCAGTAGGTAAGATTTACTGTTTATTTAAAACGTGTTATGTTTTATTATTTATTCCTGGATGCAAATCTCTCTCCCTACAAAATTGTTTGGTCCTGTAGTTAATTCCTATGTGCACTGTATGCTACCATGGAAAACACTGAAAAAAACACACCATATAATACAGTTGCAGAAAAAGAGATTTTGCATTCTTAAATATTGCATTGCATTGCAATGCATTATGATATATCATTGATGCATTATCAACAATATACTGTACAGTACCTACATCTCTGTTTTATAACCAGTCCGACCTACATTCCAATTGTCCGGGGATGTGTGTATAAAGCTACAGTATGTACCAGTATAGCAAGTGTGCTTTGATGAGGTCTACACTGGTGAATTATCAATTTTAGAGAATCGCAAGTTTCCATCTTGGTGCTATGCTCTGGTTTTGTTACTCCAAACATATACAGAAAGGACTAACATAAAACGTGCAGAACTATGTGCTTGTGGAATGCCAGTGGCCGGAATTGAAAATATTCCATTTTGACTATAAACTGTGTTGGTCTCACATTTTTTTAAAGGATGGACTTATTTAAATTGATCAAATCAGATAGAGTTGATTCAAGAATTAAAACTTCTACAGACTGCAAAAAGAAAAAAAGAGAATGTTCATTTCATTGAAAGCTATTAATTTTCCTGGATAAAGTTACTTTAATCTTAGGCCGGTATCCTTCATTTTCCAGGGTCTAGCAATTGCAATTGAATATAGCTACCAAGTAATAATCATATCAGAGTGGAAGCAAATTTAAAAGAGCACTGAGGCAAATTGCTTCTGAGATTTTGCGAGAACAAAGGAGGAAAGATACACAGCAGAACAGCACAGAATTTAAAAAAAACTGTATAGATCAAACAGCACACCAGATGTGGAGCAAAAATTGTTACTCTGGAGGAATACAAAGAATCAGATTGCCTGAGAAGACTTCTGAAAGGAAAACATTAAATGTTCATCAAAGAGAAAGCAGAGGAAGAGAAAGTGAGCACTATATGTTGCTGAATGGGACTTGGCCAGCAGATACATGCAATTTATAGCATTTAAATACAGGTACAGTATAAAAAGGAGCTAAAGAAAGGATACTAAAGATGATACAAAGAAGACAAACTTGGGTTAAAACTTTACTTGTACATAAAAGGAAAGCAAGTGAAATGCAACTGTTAAGTTCAACTGAGATAAACAAGAAATCATCTTTACTTAGTGATGGGGTGGCTATAAAACACAGCTTACGCCTGCTCAGCAAGCTAACCTAATAGAATCGTTCTGATTCTAACCAAATAAATAATTAATATCATAAATTAAATGTGCACATAGGAACCTGCTTTATGTGTTATTTAGCATGACTTTCTTAAACTAAATCTTTAACATTCGTCAATAGAACAGGATAATACATTACAAAATGTGTCATAACTGGAATAAAAACTGAGTAACATTTCTTGTCTCTCAGTGTACGGACCCTAGAGAAACAAGAAATCTAAAACTCACATACTGTATCTTGTTCAGTTTTTCAAAGCCTCTAAACGGTACAGGTAGACAGGTGGAGGTTTATGCAATGACACAAACAGAACAACTTCTAAATGAAAACAGTTCTATACGAAACAGACCTTGAACACAAATGGAAGTATAGGGCAATATTGGTGGTCTTCACAGGGATCCCTGCCTGCACCATGCAAAGATGAACTTCCAATGCTAATCCATAAACTCAAGGCATGACAGAGGACACAATGTGCCAAAGAAGACTTCAGCTTTCTCCACCATTAGAAACCTTGCTATGGCCAAGCCATACAGACAAAATGGACTATATCTGAAGGAGATGGACATTACTAGGCCTGGGGAAAGGATCATTGGACAAATTGACGAGTAATTAAGTGCCTGTATCTAAATGGCAGGAGTATTAGGAAGAAAACGTGTGAGATAGAATCTTTGGCACTGAATTGTGATTATAACTTAGAATTACAGAATCGTAGCTAACATTGAGTGTTGGAGAAAAATACTTCATTAGTATTCTGGAGAGGCAGGAAAATTAAAAGGGTGGAAATGTACTGTAGCAGTATTAAACTAAATTCAAACATAGGAATTTAGAGGACTGAAGGGACAGGAAATCTATATGGCTCAGCCTTACATCAAGTCTTACATCAGGAACCACAAACATTTACCAAAAGCTAACTATTCTATTTGGAATCATCAAGGGCATTCACAAAATCAACAATTGGGACGTCTTCAGAACCGACAATGAAATACAAACCAGAAAGCGTAAATGGAAACTACAGGCAATTAGATATGACACCAAAAGCACTTTTTTACATAAAAAGCAAAAGATATCCAGCTGTCTTGTTGTAGGTAACACCCTGGCTAATTTCAAGAAATGGCTGGATGAGATGCTAACATAATTTGCACACCAGAAATCAACCAGGCTAGTTGGACCAAAATAGGACTGTAATATTTGTAATATTTCTATTAATAAGGGAATTGATCATCTGGTGTCCTGAAGGGCTCTGTTCTGAGTCTCATTCTTTTCAGTATTTATATGTTACCATTGGGTAAGATTATTTGTAGGTATGGTGTCTTTATGTCTATACTGATGACACCTACTGTAGATTTACGTCTGCATAAAACCTGACATTTATCACAGTGCTTTGTTGATGAAACAACACATTTTACACATGACCTGTGACAAGACCATACTGATTGGCACTCGTTATCAAAGTTCTGTGTCCAGCTTTAAAAACTCAGATTTGCAATATTGTGATCATATATTTTTTCATCACTGTGACAATTCTCCTATATGTTCACATCTCTCCTAGTCTGATTCAGAGAAAATAATGCATGTGTTTTTTTATTGTAATATGGACTTTGCAGATGTATGCAAACGTCCTTAAAAAGTTGCAATTTGTTCAGAACTCAGTTGCTTGGATCTTTATTACAACTAATATACAGTATATAAGCACATCTGTTCTTTTTTTTTAGCATACTTGCGCTAGCCTTCTGTGGGTGGATTTCACAAAAAATGGCTCGAACGGTTTGACTCCTCACTACATCAGTAAATTGTTACGCCCTGTACACCCCCACATGATTTGTGCTCTTGGCATTCTGGCTTATCAGTCCCTAAAACACAGCTCTGAACATAAGTAGGCATGTACAGATATCCTTAGCATAATCTCAACAGCCCATCTGAGATCCTGCAAGTCATTCAGCGTTTTCAAATCCTGTTTTTTTACACAAGCTTTTACACAAGCTATTTTATTTTAAAATAATTTTGAAATAAATTGAATTAATTTGTCTTAAAATAGCCATTCTAAACCAGTTAAACATTTTGTCTTAAAATCTAACTAAAGGTTATTAAATTCTAAGAGTGTCCATGTTCAACTTACCCTTTCTCTCTCTCATTTGAAGGTGGCTTGGGCAACAGCACATCAATGATGGAAATAAGTTCAGATTCTGAAGATGTTGGGAGGAATAAATGCAAGACTTCAAGCAAGACACAGGCTGAAATCTGACTTTGCTTCACCAAACTGGCCGCGAACTCAAGATCCTAAGAAACATGTACAGTATAGAAGAATGTCACAAAACATCCATAGGATATGAAGCATCTGATTTCAAAGGGTATCTTTACATTCTTATCTAGCAGCTACTGTATTCACAAAGACTGCTGACAGTACAGCACCAGGAAACAATTTCTAATTAGCAATCCACTCATTCCCTGTCACCTGCTAAATGTCTTACAAAACAACAAAGGGTAGAAAAGGGATGGGAACTTCAAAAAATATTTTCATAGGCTTAAAAGATAATAGGCATGGCTAGTTTATCAGTCAAGCACATGGAACCAAAGTAATACATAGTTTTGATAATTAGTTTTTATTGTTCCTCAAGGAACTACTCATTAATGTTAATCCCCTCCACAGTTGTTTTTCGTGACTGAATAATACATTTTTTAAAGTGTAATCAGTTTCCAGAAGGCAGTCAGTTGCATGAGTAATTACAGAATATTTATATATTTTAATATACTGAATAGCTGAATATGAAATTGACTTTTGTGTTTTGTTCAACTTATTATCAACTATTTTGCATAAAAAAGCACCAATAGTGACACAAACTGAATGATACAAGTAAGAAAGCTGTGAGAATGTGCCTTTAGAACTAAAACTAGAAGGTGCTTTTCTTTATATAGAGCTGCGGGACTCCGAAATAACACGCCCATCCTTGCTGCTGAAGCTGATACCTGGCTTCTTTAAATTCACAACAGGATTTCTAATTTTCTCTGTGTGGATTGAACATTTCCAGTGTGCCGCAAATCCAAGAACTCATGAAATATATTTAAAAAATAGACCAGTTGCTTATGCATCAAATGAAATTACAAACTTACATCTCTATATGTAATGAATAGCATAGGAATCCGCTGGCCTATTACCAAACCTTCTGGGCATTTTGCTCCATGTCACAGTACTATTAGCATCTCACTTCTTTACTGTTGTGACTCTCAGAGAATCCTCTATCAATGTTATTGAAATTACTATTAAAAAGTTGATCTATCCCTTTACTGCCTTATGTATATTCCAATAAAGGTATGTGCATGAAAATGTATTATTATACAGAGGCATTTGTGTCTCCATATTGAACAATAATAATGATTATATCACAATTTTACACACAGATTGCCAATAGATTGTAATGTTCCTGCAGTGCAGGATATGTTTCCTACTCATACTATATCACTTCATTTTTAATTCATGGTTGTGCTTCGGTCTTCTGACTTTCTATCAAAAAATGTCACAAGAGAAAACACTGAACCTGGAATTTGTCCTTCAATGTACAGTATAGCCTACTCCTAAATAATAGTAGAAATAAGGAAAACAATTTTGCTGTGGAGTTTTAAAAGTCAGTAACATAATGCTTTGGTCTGAAAAGCATTTACATGACATTTCATACTTACGAAAAGCACTGAATTATGAGAGGTGGTGGTGGTTTCTGTCAGTATGTCAGAACTGACATGAACAGTATGACAATGAAAGACAGTGACAGAGAAAATGTACAGAGAAAAAGACAAAGGCAACTAGCAGATGAAGAAAAACTAAGCACAGTACTAAAACTTTAACAGTACTATCACACAAAAATAAACTAAAGGCACTGAATTTAACACATTACATCCGTTTTACAAATAAATCTACTCTAATTTTCTGCGTGCTAAATTAACTTTTTTTTAATGAAACATCTGCTTAATGTGGTTGAAAAATATACTAGGAATATTAGATGTTCACAATGTTAAGTCACTGGGGAAGCATTTGAAGGATGAGTCATTCCCACCAGAAGGTTACTGAACTGAATCCTGAACATGCTGAGGTCAAAATCATGACAGGGGACACAAGAGAAGCTATGCATTGACCTTTAATTAGATTGTATGAATACGTTCATATTCACTGTATTAATTTTCAGTGCACAATGTGTAAAAAACCTGATTACATTATAAAAGTCCCAAACTGTTACCTGGAACTGCATTTCACTGCATAAATGCCATATGCATTACAGTATATCTTATTACCGACATTTGGCTGGGTGTTCCCTGTCCTAAGATACTGTTGTGACTAGGAGCACAGTTGATTGTCATTAAGCCTACCAATGTCAGTAGTTCTCAGCAATGTCTCAATGTTTTATAGTTATACAATGGGTAGATTTTGCTGTATTTACACTGGTCCTTTTACTAAGTTACAGATGATCAAATAAAGAGCCCTTATCATTAACTCAGGTGAAACACACTCACTGTCACTGTCAATAAATCAGCCCTATCATCATCAGAAGCTGTGCCATGAGACTTAAAATCAGATTCTGTCCAGGTAATCTAAACCCTGAAAGTGTACCAGAATCCAGAGTTTTCTAATATAAGAGTGCTTTCTATCTTATTTATTTTTTAAACTCATTCCCTTGATTGTGGAATCTGCAGACTTAGCGATACCTTAGATTAGAATATGTACATTGTTTTCACTCATTTGTGAGCATTTGTTTAAAGAAAGAGATTTCGTGCTGTTTAGCATCCATTTTGTTTATTGCAACACAGGCTCACTCTCCTTTGCCTGTTGAAGTGTTTTTGTACTCAGATTATCAGAACAGAATTTGGGGATTTTCTATGGCTATAGAAGGCAGGGCTCTGGAAATCAGCATTAACCACAATCCGCTCATAGTGCAACTGTTGTGTGTGGCATTTGTTTGTTAATTAATATTTCTTTGGGCCTGATTATTATTCTACTATCATGCTGCTCTGGAGAATTAAGTATGGAAGCCCGTTTCCACCAGGGAGTAAAAAAAACACACAATGGTATCTCGCAATTGCGACTGTATCTCAGAATTGCGACTTTATATCTCGCAATTTTGAGTTAAAAACTCAGAATTCCGACTTTATATCTCAGAATTCCAACTCTATATCTGGCAATTGCGACTTTTTATCTCACATTTTCGACTTCGAAATGGCCCACATTTCACTGTCTGTCATTTTGTTATTGTAACGGATTCAGGTTCTAGGGCTTGTGCCCTCCCCACTCCCACCCTAGTTTGTGCCTCACAGTATTGGTTCGAACCCAGGTCTTGCCAGCTGACCTAAACAAAGTAAAAAAAGTTTTTAAGTCGTAGTTCTGAGTTTTTAAGTCGAAATTCTGAGATATGAAGTCACAAGTACAAGATATAAAGTCGCAACTGAGAGATATAAAGTTGGAATTCTGAGATTTAAAGTTGGAATTCTGAGATACAAAGTCACAATTGGGAGATACCATAGCGCGTTTTTTTTTTTAACTCCCTGGCGGAAACGGGCTTCCACAATTAAGGACTCACATGCCGTGCAATGTGTATTACCTGAATTTAGGGGTTGGTATTATTCATCTTTTTTTTATTTGCTTGCATAGGAAGTCAGGACCTGATTTTGATTTTATTTAATCAATAACCTCCTTATTTTGTAATTTTAACACCTCCTTTTTGTAACAATACTTTTGAACATTCATCTGTACAAAGACTGCTTTATAATTATATTGGGAAAGCCACCATCATTCTGCTCTATACCATCCAAAATGTAATTAAAAATGAATTAAAACGATGTGTAAGCAAAAAAGAAATGTGATGGAAAAGTGCTAACATTTTAAAATTTGCAGGTTATTATAAATACTTTGATAGCAGTTACCTGATCAAAATGTATATGGAGTGTCTTAAACTCCAGTTGCTCTTTCAAATCTTCTTTTATCTGATATCTTGTGTGCTCTTCTTTCAGTCTAAAAAATATAAAAGAACTGTAAGACAAAGGTCCAAACAACAGGTAAGCTCTGTTATTATTTCCTCTTATCAAAGTTCTTTTGATGTGCAGTAAGAAACAGACAAAAAGTATTGACGGCCTTTGAAAAAACAGACACAATAAAACTTCTTTAGACACTGTAGAGTTGCGCATTATTTCTATACATGGAATTCTGATGCCAGTCTGTTGTGATAACATTGTTTCTTCGATGTTCTATACAGTATTAAAACCCCAGAGCCTCCACTTCAACAAAGACTCAAAATAGGGAACAATTCAGAACTGACAGATCTAGAGATTGCGCAAGCATTATTGGCAAAAGTAGATAACATTCAGCATGTCTGAAACACCAGAATGATTGTGTACACATTTTACAATAAAAAGAGAGCAATGATAATTCAAGAATACATAGGATGATTTTCTAGAATGTACTCAAAACTTGTCGGCAAAAACATTAAAACACCATTACTTGACCATTTTAACTCGCATCTCTAATGAACTAAGGTACAGCCTGGAGTAATTAATTTCGATTACTGCATTGTCAAACCTTGTCAATTTTGTGGTCCTCTGAATATTTGATTATATATGCCAGCAGCTATATCACTCTGCAACTCACAACTGGCAACCCACTGAAGCTCAGCAGGTGTTAGCCTGGTCAGTACCTGGATGGGAGACCTCCTGGGGAAAACTAAGGTTGCTGCTGGAAGAGATGTTAGTGAGGACAGCATGAGGCGCTCACCCTGTGGTCCATGTGAGTCCTAATGCCCCAGTATAGTGATGGGGACACTATACTGTAACCAGGCGCCATCCTTTGGATAAGACGTAAAACAGAGGTCCCAGGGTGTTTCTCGAAAAGAGTAGGGGTGTAACCCTGGTGTCCTGGCCAAATTTCCCATTGCCCCTTTCCAATCATGGCCTCCTAATAATCCCCATCTATGAATTGGCTTCATTACACTGCTCTCCTCTCCACTGAAGTGGTGAAGTACTATACTAGTGCACTATGGCTGCCATTGCATCATCCAGGAGGATACTGCACATTGGTGGTGGTGGAAGGGAGTCCCTATTACCTGTAAAGCGCTTTGAGTGGAGTGTCCAGAAAAGCTCTATATAAGCGTAAGCAATTGTTATTATATTTAAACATATTTAGTTCTGAATATTTAGTTTGAGCAAATATGGATAATAAAAGAAACTCAACAGCCTTTTACAGTGACTTAGAGCTCAGCTCGACTTTGTAGCAGAAGGTTCCCCTAGCCTGGTCATGGAGGGCAACTGTTTCAGTTGGTTTCATCTCCAGCCATTTATAGCCAAAAGCCAACAAATGATTAAAATTTTCTAGCAGGGCTTTTGTTTTTTAATTTTAATTTGAACTTGTGATTGTTATCAACCCTGTACAAGTTTCTGGGTTTCCAGTCACCTCATTCAGGTATGCTGCCAGACAATTGGACCTCTGAAAAGGGGAAAAAAATAATTGTGGGAATATTTATTCCTTATAATAACCTATTCATATCTGTTTAGCCAGAAAGATATTTTAAGTATGCCGTGGAGAGACTTTATTAAGTTTACTGTTTGGAAAAAATATGGTTTACATAGTTGTTTTTTTTAAATACGGGGTGCAAAAACAAGTAAATTCAAAGCCTAAATAAGAAAACCAATTAATTGAAGACATTAATTATCACTAATGATTTAAAGCTCAGTTGGAATGAAAATAAGCAAACAATGTGGTCCCTGAGGAGTTGGTCTGGGAACCACTACTAGAAGGAAACGTTCTATACTGTATCTCTTGATCTACTCGAATCTTTCTCATGCCTGATCAGAAAACTGTAAAATATAATCCACCTTTAATAATAAACAGTTGTTCTCAAGTCTGGTCCAGAACTCTATGTCCTCAGGGTTTTGCTCACTGTTCTTAAACACAGGCTAATTGATTTCAATTTTCTACTAGAGGCCTGTTTTTAACTATCAGCTCCCAAAGGGTTGAATGAAATTTATATCAACCCTGTACTAATTATAGAGTTTGAGGACTGTCCTCATTCAGGTGTGTTAACGTGACCAATTGGACTTAAAGGAAAACTGCTGTCACAATTTCTCAAACTCCTTAATAAATCTTGGTAACAAAGTAAATTCATTGATGTTATTTTACGAATTTCAAATTTAATTTAAAATCGTGAACTTGGAGAAAGCACTGAAAGGTGTTCAAAAATATATTTTTAAAAAATATTTTCCTAAAATGATCCATTTGTTTTTCACTTAAATATTCCTGGTTACAAGATCTTAAGCATGTTTAGGCACTACTGTACATACAGTACCTGTACACTTCTGAAATAACGTTGTGCTTTTTTGGAAAGATTTTTTTGGAAATCAAGAATTTACTTCAGAAAAAAAAAATCTAAACACCCAAGCAGATCAATTACATGCATCAATGAGCACTGTTGATTAAAGACCCAACTGGTACAAAATTCAGCAGACACAGGAGTGTAAAACACAGATATAAAACAATGATCCTCAATAATGAGACACCACACACACACAGTAAACATATTACAGAATCTTCCACATTATTAAACTATCAACATATAAAATGCTAAAAGGAATAAACTGAGTGTTATTTTGCTTACCTTCCATGTCTGGAAGGTTACCTTTAATCAGTAATTCATACAATACAAAAGACCATGTACAGTATAATGTCACATAGTAATTCATGTGAGTAACATCAAACTTAACCTGCTGAAATTTTGCTTTTTGTAGTAAAGACAAATCATTCCTTTATAATATTTATAATATTGTTTGATTACATTCGTTTATACTTCAGCAGAATATTTAACACTTCTTGGACATAGAATATGAATCTCTCACATCCATCTGGCAATACTGTAAAAAATACTGTATTTTTAGGGTTATAATAAAAAAAGAGGATAACACTTTAGTTTGCACTAAATGAGGATCATATTTGCTAACTTCCTGAAACAGAACTCCAACAATGAAAATTTCCTGCTTTGACATCAAAATGACACTGATGCGTGACACATGCACATATCTATAAATCACAAAAAAACTGATACTGTATGTGAAAAAGTATAGAAAAATTGATGTGCTTGGTTAAAAGTGTTGTAATTCATTGCTTGACCGTAAAGATCACACCTATTAAAATATTTTATAAACAATACTATTGATTTTTGTCCATATGTTGTTCTGTAATAGACCTCCTGAAATTTGTGTTGCTTGAAAAAACAAGGCTGATTTAGGAGCAGTTAAGGGAGAACAAGAATTGACCCTACCCTTTGACACACCAATATTTACATTTGAAAGAATATATTTATATAATAGTACATGCTTCGCAGTACATGAAACAATATTGCATAGGCATCTTTGGATTTGCAGACAAAAGCTGCAGTCAACGTCTCTTTGAACTCAGCACAACTAACTCCTTATTACTACTGTAACTCTGATGACGTACAGTACAGTGACACATGTTTACTGCTCACCTGTTTCTTTGCAAATGCATCACGTGGTGAGACTTATTGAGAGCCTGCTGCAATCTGACAGTCATGCGGCAGTCCTCCTCTTCTTTGGAGATCTCAGCTGAAGGTGCATCAGGTCCTGAGGTTAAGGTGGGTGCCACTGTTAAGGCCTTCCAGTCAGCCAGACACTTTTGGAGCAGGTTTTCTGTAACTTCCAATCCCTTTGAAAACAGAGACAACAAACCTGCAGTTCAGAATTCAGAAAAAGAGGCACACTTGAAACAATACTTTTGAGCTGTATTAAACAGGCTGACATGGTTTCTCATCTCACCAAGCTTAATTAGGTTTCTTCCTTAGCAATTGTGCAGACAGCAGTGATATTAAATCACAAATTAAAACAATAAAAATAAACAAATTCCCAAAAGTCCAATAAATCTGTGTGCATTCTCTCTGTATGACTATATGATACATATTTGTATATTTGGCATAACAAAACACAGAAGGGCAACAGCAGAAGATATCAATGAAAAATTACGAAAAACATAAAAATAACTAATTTAATTTTCATAAGTTTTAATTAAGCTTTGTACATCTAGTAAGCAGCATTATTTAAAACTTTGGTATATCTAATTTTGTTATATGAAACAGTCTTAGATGGCATGTTCCTTCATTTTCTGTTTCAGGTTTGTACTGATCTGTTTATCCTGTTTGCTTTAAAAACAAAGAATCCAATTGTGTCCATGGAAACAAAATAAAAGTTAAACCAAACAGATACAGAAAACCTTCCTAGCGCACTTTTAACATACTAGAAATATATAGCTGTAGACACAAATAGAGACACCTTGCATTTGTGTAACAAACATTGTCAACCTTTAGTTACTGGTTAATGATGCCAGTTATTCTGATTCAAACATCCTGTTAAAATCACAAGTTGAAATGTTATAGTGAAAGAACCTATTTAAGATACAAGGAGCAAATACTTCTTTAAATTCTTGATTTAATCAATCAATTTGAGAATAAAAAGTAATAAAAATAATAACAGATACATTTTCTGAATTTTATTTTACTAACAATTTTATATCTTACAACCCTAAGTAGCTTGATTCACCTGTGGAACTTCCACCTGATGCCACAAGTATGGAGCTATGCTACACTATGGTATGTATCACTGTATGTACTGTATTACAGTGGGTTTAATACAATGCACTTACCTCACCACAGTTTAACATCTTTTGCTGCAGGCGCTTGATAGCATTATCACAGTAAAGCTTTGAAAACACCCCTATTTGCACCAGCCTTTTTAAAAAGCACTTAAACCGAATCATATAGGACAGTGAAAGTGCAGGTTAAAGGGTTATAAATAAACCAGGAAAACATTGTCATAAGTAAGCAGATTTATGGACGACTTTGATCAGAGCACATGCATCACTTGATTAGAACTAAACAATATCTAAGGGAAAGTACACAAATTAATTTTTAATTCACTAGACCTGCTATAGTAGTCCAGTTGGCCTAAGAATGATTGACATGCATTTTCAAGCCATTGGCTTCTTCTCATACATTGATTCTGTTAGATTCAGGAAAGTGATAATGCTGAGGCCCGCAAGGATCTGGCCAGAGACAAGAGAATAATAAGGATTCCCCAGATGGCTCCACTCTAACGGAACTGGCTGTGCTTCACACAAATTATATTTCAAATTATAATTGCGAGGTGCAGCATCCAAATATAAGAAACCTGGACTGAACTCATGTTCTACTCAAAGCAAAGGTATTACCACTACAGACAATAGGAGGCCCCATGGGATAAATCCTAAAAAAAAATCTTTATCATACATATCCTATTATTTGAATACACCACAAGAAACCTGTATCTTTGCTGTCTCCACTGATTTTTTATTTTTATTTGATGATTAAGACATTGTTATACTGTGCATTGTTTGGTAGAATATTAACTGGTCAACTTTATTAAATCTTTTCCAATGACCTTATTTACAACCAAATAGCAATGAATATATAGTTGCCGTTTATAAAACCAATTTAGTTTTCCTTACATGACTGTGGTTCTGGATTGTTTGTGCTATTTCTGGGGTTGTCATTGACCCTGAAATGCTCAGCTCCTCCACTAGCAGCGATTGCAGATTCAAAATGGCAGCATACGTCTCCAGGGCCTTTGCTCTCTTTTCAGCTTTTTGGAACTGTAAAGCAGTTATGTGAGCTCCCAGGCGTTCCTCCTGAGATTTGAGAAGGTCTTCTCTTTCATGCTGCAGCTCTGCCAGGACCTACACCGGGGATCAGGACAGAGAGGAATGAATTTGCATGCCATCACATCATTTGTCAGAATGAAATAAAAGTGCTAAAGACATTAAATCATCTCTATGCATAACAGAAAAAATATTATTGCTCGAACAATGTAATGTAAAATATGAGGGGTTACGTCAACAGACGTTATTACTTGTATTATTACGATAACTTCCATCATAAAACCACACCCCGTGAGCTTTACATCTATTGCTCCTGCGGAGGAAATAAGAAGATAATTATTTTTCAATCTGTTGTGGAGCTGCTGCATCAAAACAAAGCACTTAGCTTTGCATTCTTACCGTACAACACTTGAAAACAGAGTGCTGTGCCGTTCAGACATCACAATATACAATGGATAACAATGGATGCCATCCCAGAAGTTCTAATCTGCTTTCCTACTAGGGAACTTTCATTAGATACAGTACTGCATGTTTTTAAGAGAAGAAAGGGTCATTTGAATAGTCAATGACAGGGTAGTAAATGAACAGAAAATCATTCCAATGCTTAACAGTGACCTGAGACTGACAAAATCAGGAGGTGAAGTGCACATATTGATCTGTTTAATGCGGAGCTGCATTATTTAGTTTAGCTGAAACCCACACTCAGCAGTTCATAATGAAACAATGATGAACTTAGGATCAAGATAAACAAGTTTTAAAAGGGCAAACAAAGTTCGCTAAATATTGTCAGCATTATTGACATTTAATGCTACAATCCCATGACCACTTGAATCCATTCCAAAGTTCACTTGATTGCACACTAACATTGTTCCTGTGGGGGAAGGGGGGAAAAGAGTATATAGTATTTTGTTTGGTAGAGGTCTTTAATTGCTTTTGATAATAAGAGCTCAGAACAACTAGATGCTTTAATCTTAAGTGTTTGCATAGTTGCTAGATAAAAGTCCAGTCTGAAGAGAAACCACTTAAGATGGACTTCACAAGGCCATCTTAAGTCATCAGACGTTTACCAGTAACTAACATGCCCATGTGATATACTGTACTGTACAGAAGCTAGACAACAAGGACCTTTAAGTCAGTATAAGAAGAATGTAGGTTAAGAAGTGATTCAATAAGATAGAAAAGAGCATTGTAGCCTAGTGGCGAATCCATATTTATCACTGGATTCGTCTTTGATGAACAAAAGAATCTATATTTTCATATTTGTCAAACAAATTTAGTTTGCTTTTTCAATTTGCCAGGCAGAGACTATCAGTCCTTTTATTTGAAAGCATTTTTGTTAGGGACCTATTCTTGTCGAGGCTCAGTTTAGATGCCAGGCTCACCAGTGGATTTGTTTTATGAAAGCAATTTTACATGCTCTTATCAAAGTATTGTGGCAATTCCTTAGTATATAAAGGTTGCCAATGTTAGGGATCTAGTGGAAAAGCTTTGGATGCAAGGTGATGGGCCCCAACAACCCTCTCCTATTGTAAAATGAGCTTGTAAATGTTTCTGTGTATTTTTTGTCTTGTGTTAATGAATTGTTTATAAAATACATCTTTGCCTTGTGGACTAATACATGTTTATTTCTCCATTACAAAATTGTTCATGATCCTATCTACATTGATATTTTACATAAAGGTACAAAATCTCACAACAGACCTCTCATCCTATTCAACCTGAAAACATATATAAATATTGACATTGATGTGGAAGTTACACAATCAAAAAGGTCAATTGCATAGCACTTTATCATTTTAACATACATAAAAAGATCATATAAATATCATATATTTCTTCCAAATACCTCAAAAGTAACATGGCAGGTGCGTAATGTAATTCAATGGCCAAAGACGATCAATAGGGACCGCTTGTGGTGCATTAAATGTTAGTGAAACGATTGCTTCATTTCATCTGTTTCCCTACTGTGCATGTTTAAATCTGCTTAATATGGAACATTAATATGGAATTTTACAACTAAAGGGAAATTGTGGTATCTGAAAATAACGTAATATACAGCTAATGTACTGTACCTAATATAATGCAAATTTCAGCAACAAG